TTCTAGCAGGAACTGATTACCAGGAAACCAATGTTTGTATGGTAATGTTAGTTCTAGCAGGAACTGATTACCAGGAAACCAATGATTGTATGGTAATGTTAGTTCTAGCAGGAACTGATTACCAGGAAACCAATGTTTGTATGGTAATGTTAGTTCTAGCAGGAACTGATTACCAGGAAACCAATGATTGTATGGTAATGTTAGTTCTAGCTGGAACTGATTACCAGGAAACCAATGATTGTATGGTAATGTTAGTTCTAGCAGGAACTGATTACCAGGAAACCAATGTTTGTATGGTAATGTTAGTTCTAGCAGGAACTGATTACCAGGAAACCAATGATTGTATGGTAATGTTAGTTCTAGCTGGAACTAATTACCAGGAAACCAATGTTTGTATGGTAATGTTAGTTCTAGCAGGAACTGATTACCAGGAAACCAATGTTTGTATGGTAATGTTAGTTCTAGCTGGAACTGATTACCAGGAAACCAATGATTGTATGGTAATGTTAGTTCTAGCAGGAACTGATTACCAGGAAACCAATGTTTGTATGGTAATGTTAGTTCTAGCAGGAACTGATTACCAGGAAACCAATGATTGTATGGTAATGTTAGTTCTAGCTGGAACTGATTACCAGGAAACCAATGATTGTATGGTAATGTTAGTTCTAGCAGGAACTGATTACCAGGAAACCAATGTTTGTATGGTAATGTTAGTTCTAGCAGGAACTGATTACCAGGAAACCAATGATTGTATGGTAATGTTAGTTCTAGCTGGAACTGATTACCAGGAAACCAATGATTGTATGGTAATGTTAGTTCTAGCAGGAACTGATTACCAGGAAACCAATGTTTGTATGGTAATGTTAGTTCTAGCAGGAACTGATTACCAGGAAACCAATGATTGTATGGTAATGTTAGTTCTAGCTGGAACTGATTACCAGGAAACCAATGATTGTATGGTAATGTTAGTTCTAGCAGGAACTGATTACCAGGACACCAATTATGTATGGTAATGTTAGTTCTAGCAGGAACTGATTACCAGGAAACCAATGATGTATGGTAATGTTAGTTCTAGCAGGAACTGATTATCAGGGAACCAATGTTTGTATAGTAATGTTAGTTCTAGCAGGAACTGATTACCAGGGAACCAATGATTGTATGGTAATGTTAGTTCTAACAGGAACTGATTACCAGGAAACCAAATGATTGTATGATAATGTTAGTTCTAGTAGGAACTGATTACGAGGAAACCAATGTTTGTACGGTTGTTGGTTCACCTGGCCCAAAGGGCCAAGTGAGCTTATGGCATGGTGTGGCGTCCGGCGTCCGTCAGGTGTCAGATTGTCCGGCGTCCAACTTTTTACTTTAAACAACTTCTTCTCAGTAACCAAAAGGCCTAGAGTGATGATATTTGGCCAGAAGCATGGTGGGATGAAGGGCTACCAATTTTGTTCAAATAATGACCTTGACTTATATTCAAGGTCACAGGGGTCAAATATGTTAAAATCTTTAAACAACTTCTTCTGAATAACCAAGTGGCCTATGGTGATGATATTTGGCCAGTAACATGCTGGGATGAAGGTCTACCAAGTTTATTCAAATACATGACCTTGATTTATATTCAAGGTCACAGGGGTCAAATATGTTTAAAACATTTAAATGAATTCTTCTGAACAACTGAGAGGCCTAGGGTGATGATATTTGGCCAGTAACATGCTGAAATGAAGGGCTACCAATTTTGTTCAAATAAATGACCTTGATTTATATTCAAGGTCACAGGGGTCAAATATGTTTAAAACTTTTTAAACAACTTCTTCTGAATAACCGAGAGAGCTAAGGTGATGATATTTGGCCAGTAATATGCTGGAATGAAGGGCTACTAAGTTTGTTCAAATAAATGACCTTGACTTATGGGTCAAATATGTTCAAAACTTTTAAACAACTTCTTATGAATGACTGAGAGGCCTAGAGTGCTTAAATTTTGCCTGTAACATGCTGGGATGAAGGTCTACCAAGTTTGTTCAAATGAATGACCTTGACATATATTCAAGGTCACAATGGTCAATATATGTTTAAATCTTCAAAAGATTTGTTCTGTATAGCCAAATTTTCCAGGGTAATGATATTTTGCTAGAAGCATGCTGGGTTGGAAGACTATAAACTCTGTTCAACCTAATGTCGTTATTAGTTATTCAATTCTGCGTCATATGTTTAAATCTTTTAATAGGTTCTTATGAATCAAACACTGATATTCTGCCTGTAGTTGTATTTTAGTCCACTTTTAAGATTACAAGTGTGAGATTAATACCAGGTGAGCGAGTCAACCCATTGGGCCTCTTGTTTTGTTTGTGTTTTATGGCCTATTGACAGCTATGGTCATTTAAGGAGGAAAAAACACCGAACTACGGCCAGTACCTGGTGACTGCCCAAAGTAGGCCTCAAACCCGCGACCCAGTGGTGGAGGGCTAGTGGTAGCAGACGCCTTAACCACTTGGCCGCCACGGCCCCTGTTTGCATGGTAATTTAGTTCCAGAAGGCACTGAACTACCATGAAAACTAATGTTTGTATGATAATTTGTTTGGAACTGATGTAGTAGCATGGAAAACATTTTAGAATTTATAACAAAGCACTTGTTTTGGGTTCATATTTCAATAGATCATTATTTTCTGACGAAGTTAATGTTGTCATAAAAACTATTAGTCATACATAAAATTTATGATTATTTCTGAAGTTTGACACACTGGAATTGAAATACTGAAATGTGGCAGGATTTTGCAGTTAACTTTAATGAAACTAGTTATGATGACTCTACAATTTAATGGAACAATTTGTGCCAGTAGTACTGACAGTTAGGCAGGCAGAAAAAAGGCCACACATACAATATAATGGCTAAATCATAGGGGGAGTCTATACAATATGATGGATGTCCCATCTCCTCACATACAAATACCATCATTTCCTATACATGTTCTTTCCAATTCACAGAAATATATTTTTTTTATACATCATTATCGTGGTGTTCGATCAATGTAAGACGGTGCATGATCCATTCTTACGGTCGCAAGAGAGCTTCCTGGAAAGCAACAAACCATGTTTTTTAAGCACATGATAAAGTTGGCAAGATAGAATTTATAAGAAATAACCACAACATGTGTACTTGGCTGAAGTAACTGAACACAGGCAATACATTTAGGGAATGTGCTGAGTTGTATAACATCTAGATATCTTGGTGTATCTACTCTCATGTTAAAATTTCATGTACCAAGCACTCGGATGGAATTGGTAAACTCGGCCCGAGTCTCTAGGTACCCATTTGTACTGCCAATGGATCTTGGTGCCAGACAAAGCAAAAGCCATTACTGCATTGTAGTCTGTCATTTTTGTAGGTAGAAAAAATGAGAAAAATTTACGATGAAATTTGTAAATTGTTTCAACTTTTGATATCCAACTAAAATATCAGGTGTTTCCATTAACAGAGCAGTAATCTAGTGATGGGATACTGAGGGTTTGTCGAAAGATGGTTTTGTTTTACTTCATGACTTTTTTCAAGGTTAAAAGATTCAAGGTTTGATAATGATGAGATACATAGATAGGACGGTGTGCATTTCCTTGTCTCTGTCCTATCTCTGTGATGGGTCGGAGACCTTCACACGACTTGTCGTAACATGTGGATGGTACTAGGTGAATGGTTTAACTGTCATTTTTACGACAAAGAGAAGCATAGTTAAAGGTATTGATTGGTGATGGGATGATAAGGACCGGTGTCCGCGACAAACACGTGTGGCTGATACATGGCCATTCTATTAGATACTTACTACAACAGGAATTATTCTACAGGAACACACCAAAATTTGATAGAACGTTATTACATGGAGAGTGACTAGCAGTGGAACTTAGCCCCTCCCCCTCTAATACCAGCAAACACACCAACACGAGAGACCCTCCTATATTGACAGTGCCAATCTGCACTACACCATATTTGTCTCCCTGTATCCTACATTTCCACATGCAGTCTTTGTGGTTTTCATTGGACCAATCGGTGAAGTTGTTAGACTGTAAATTTGATGGGATTGTGTAACCACTAATTGTGTTGTACTGTGCTGGCTGGGACGTTGCTATGCACAGTCATCTCTAAGAGTCGGTGGTAAGCAGGTCGACACTCACGGTGCCCGGTACCGACATATACACTGGTACACAAGTGTGCACAGTCTGATCCTGAGTTCAAAAGAAATGCAATTTTTATATGACAATGTTTCAAACAGAAATCAACCATTAAGTTGGTGTGTATGACAAGCGAAAAGTTATTTGGCATGTGTGACAATTGTAAGCACACAAATCAAGAGGATGTATTGGGTTGTTACGACGGATGACACCCTGGCTGTAACTAACATAGCGACTCGTTTGCTACTTGGCTGAACCTGTGTTTAGTTGTCTCTGTGAGGTACTTCATTTTGTTGGTTTGTCACTTCTGGCACTTCTCAGAACATTGTCCTCCTGGGAGACTGAACAATTCGGAAACTGCTAAAGTATACCCTCAAGTTTGTCAAATCGGTGTTACCAGTAAACTCTTACGTACAAACAGTCGCTAGGCAATACCACCATCACCACTGATGCTCTGGAACAGCAGCCAAAAACACCATATTTTACAATCTGTTTGATATTTTTGTAGATATTTTAACTCTGTTTAATTTGGCATTACTCAAGAGGTTTTGGGCAAAATAAAAATAAAAAGACCTAAAGATAATTATCCAAAACACTTGAGATTAACAAATTTTGAGAAATGTGAGGCATAATTATTCGAAAGGAAATTTCTGTTGAGAAATCAATTTCAATCTAATAGTACCAGAAATTTGGAAACATCTCATTTAAACTATTCTTTAATCTGAGCATAAAAAAAAAATTCTGATAGGAAATTAGATCATTTAGACCTTGGAACGATTCGTAAGATAAATGACAGATTTGTTTTAAGCAAGTATCTAAGGATAACCATTGCTGTTCACGATCCAAAATTACCGGTAACAAATGGAGTTAACTAGGAAAGTGTTTGATTTGAATATAATGATTTGAGGAGCTTGCTTTACTCAAAACAACTCGTAATTAACCGCAGGTTCAGAAATTCATTAGAAGTAGGAGTATCGAAGCGAGAGCTAGTCTTATTGAACAATTCTTATGACAATACGTACCATGAGGGACAAGGTCTATTTCTGTAATCAGACATTATTATAAGCCTCCAGAGACAAATAAGGTAGGAGATATCAATCCATATATTTGGTGTAGCAGTGTCGACCCAGAGCGTAAATATATGGTTAATTAATGATGAGGGATGGAAATGACGTGCTGTACTCCTCCACTGCCAGGCTACGTCTTTGTTCAATTGTCAATTTATTTCACCACTAAGCGTGTTACATAATGGCCAGCTGATGTACTGGTCTATCCCATCAATACCATTCACACCTGGGGCCCCAGGTGTCAGTACGGAGGAAGAACAGGCACAGTACCGGAATTCAGTTTGATTCTCCACTGTGTGGCTGGTATTAGTGACAGCTTGAGGGTTTGTACAGTGTGGTGTGCCGCTGGTGTCAGTCAAGTAGAGGCTGGAGTCGCTCGTAGGTCAGGTATTACCAAAACTATAGAACCACAGCCTTATCATAGACACCTCATAAAATAGGTAAGGATACGGAGAATGGGGACCAGACAACTGGTAAGTGTGGATCGGTGACCAATCAGTGAGTTAGGGACTAGTATTGAGACGTGCTGTCGGTGAGTTAGAAGCTAGTGTGTTATGGTAAGTAGTACAGCTACCAATACTCCCAACATGGAGAACCGGGGTTCTGTAAGCACTCTCAGTACTCGAGTCTACCAGTACTCCTCACAGCAGAGTAGCGCCTGTATAGCTCTCTGTCCACACCAAGAACGCCGTAAAGTACTCATTCTGGAGAAAAACTCCTCCTGGAACAACCATGGGTGTCATACAGACAATTTCTCAAATGTGAAAGAATTTTACAGTGGGGCTCGGTGTCATAGTAAACACAGGAGTATATTTGACGAATTCTGGGAACAAATACATGGTGTTCTTCCGAGGTGTCCGGCAAACACATTGGTGTCATCACCCCAACGTCGTGGTGCCCCCAAGGAGTGTCGCTGTGGAATGGGACCTCAAGCTGCGGTCATCCCACTCGGATCTTTTGATGTGTATGTGTACGTATTATTTTCTCCTTTCTGTCAGCTGCTTTTGGTTACTCTCATTTCCCATGAAACCATACCTTAACTCCCATCTTCTGTATCAGACTCATCCAGATCTGCCTCTTCACCAGTTGTTATGATTTCAGCTGTCATATTCTGTTTTCTTCCTGATTTCACTTCAACTTACTTTAATATTGTTATATCTGAAGCTCTATTCGAGTACCGGAAACTCTTGTGTGCGGTATACTCGGATTTCGCCAATACCGAGAACAATATTCAATGTAAACTATTTAAGCACTCTTTACCGTATTTGATATTAAAGACACACATATCTAAAAATTATCATTTTAAATCTGCTTTAAATTACTACTTGACATGTGGTAGCTATGCCACACTTTTAACTAGTGGGTAACAACATTTCTGTTGGATAGAATAGGGCTATTGACAACTAATGCTAGTATGCTTTTTATTTTATTTTCCCTCTCAAATATACCTAAGCAAAGAAGCAAACAGAAAGGCTGTTCCATACTATACTAAATTGATACTAAAGCAACTTAACTGTTGGTGAAATCGGAATGAAATGAACTGCTATACTCTTTATGTTAAAACACAGCATTAAGTTAAAGATATTATTATTGAAACTATTATTAAATAATTTAATTTTGCCTATCTCCCCCATAATATTGTTTTTGGTATATATCGTATATACCTAAATATAAAAAACAACTGATGACGGAACTACTTTTAACACTTCAGAATGCAAAATTACAACGCAGCTTTTTTTTAGCGCAATTGTTTAGTTTACGTAAAAATTAAATAAACCTTTAACTGTGCAGTTACAACATGTTTGTCTACTTTTTTGAAATTAAATTATAAAGATACGGTTTATACCGAAAAAAATCAAAAAAAAATCTGGTATATACCCTATATACCAAAACAAAGTCTTGGTCATTCCTTAAATATTTGTTGAATTCATTTTCTGCAATTGTTAAAATATGTATACCAGTATAGTAATACTATATTAAAGAAACACTTAAATAAATTCCATGGGTCAGAATCTTGACTTAACCACAGCCAATAAAATGCCTTAAAGTCAACAGTGGATCCTTTGCTAATTAGGGAAGTAACTTGAAGCTGTAAAACACCTTGGACCTGTGTCATCTTCTGTCATACAAGGGAGAATATCCTAGAAATAAACAGCTTTACAGTGGAATTTTGTTTTGTGATTATGGCTTGTAAGGATTACACTTAATAAACCTAAATTCTAATTTTAACAATTACATCAATTTGTTCCCCTTGAGGTAATTACATCCTTCAATATGTTGTTTCTGTTACACAAAGAATTATTCTTCGAGTTAGTACAGGAGACATAGGTTATCAAAGTGTTATGTGTGAAACAAATTTTAATAACAATATTTCTAATGTTGACAGTTATGCCTATTCATTCCACTTTTGACAGTTTTAACAATTAGTTCTACTATTTACAGTTATTCCCATTGATTTAGATTTTGAAAAGTATTTCCGTGAATTCTTAACTTTTGATATCGAGAAACATTCATTCAGATTGATAAAGATGAGATATTTTAAGTCTTTTGTGTTCTATGAATATAATGCAGCTACATTATCTTGACCTTAGAAAAATGACATTTATGTTATAAAAGTATAGAGAGACATGAAAACTCATCAGATACAAAAAGTGTGGGTTAGCAATATCAAACAGTTATAGAAATCACTGTGTTCTCTTTTTTATGTTTGGCCAATCAAAATACTTATTTCAAAATCATGTAGAAGCATTTGACAAGTTGACAAGATAGAGAAATGTATAAAAGGTCTTCAGAAATAAGGGCCCTTTGATAACCAAAGTGTCCATAAGTCCGTCCGTCCATCCGTCCGTCCGTCCATCCACACTTTCGTTTTCAGAATATTATTTCCAAATCAAACAGACTTATCTTTTCAAAATGTTACGTGGTGATACTGTGATACTGTGATATATGTAGATGTGCAATTAGGGCCTCCAAATCTTATTAAGGTCAACGTCACTGTTAGAACCTACTGGGTAAACATCAACACTCTAGTTGTACATGACGAGAGCCTTGATGACCTGTCTGGGTTCTTGTTTGATATTTATATTTTTACTTCTATTGAATTGTAAATTAATACAGTAGAAAAATATGAGATCATTCTCTCTAACCAAATCTTTCTCACAGACATAACACTCCCTGCTTTAAATACTTCAGCAAGATCCGACAGACGAATCATACACCCGCTCACGGTGTTCCTGTTGACTGATGTCTTGGTGATTGTCTTCCCTATAATTTCCCAACACCTTACATTACTCTCAGGAAGATTTATGTCATCTTGACTGTTATTTCAATTCCTCAATTATTGTAATGACATATTTTTGTCCAAAATTCAATAATTTTCCTTGTGAAGAGTTAAATTCTGCCTCTCTACAATGCTTGCAATGATGAAATCTTGAGGGGGAAATGTGAGATAAAGTTACGTTAGACCGATAATTGATAGTGAGATCATGCAGGGTTTATATTTCTGTAGGGTTTACTCTATGCAGTGAGGTCACAGGGAGGAAGATCTGTCTGAACTAAAAACGTTATTTTAAATTTCATAAAATTTGAATGCCTGTGAAAACTTACCAATACAAACCTTGGTGTGGGAGGAAATATCAAAAAGCTGAACAGTGTACCTACAACAAGTAAAGATTATTTTGTTTTGGTGAACTGGCTGTTATGCCATCCATTTTAAATGTGACTCTGCTCCAGTTACAGTGAGAAATAGTCAAACTACAGCAAACAAAGCTGTGTTTGTAAGAATTGCTTTTAACAGACACAAACCTATGTATGGACAAAAACCTATGCATGGCAAATGTTCAATTAAGGGACACAAACCTGTGTATGGACAAAAACCTGTGTATGGGACATGTTCATTTAAGGGACTCAAACCTGTGTATGCAAGAATTGCTTTTAAGGGACACAAACCATAAGTAAACATTTAAGACACACATGCATTGGAAGACCATATAAGACTAAAAGTCACCTATGAATAATGACTGGGCAAAAGTATATAGACCTGTGTGTAATTAAAGACCAATAAGGCAGTCTGACAAACCTTTGTTGAGGAAACTAGGTAATTTTGATAAAAAAAAAATCCAAGCCAGATCCTCCTACGATATTTGGTGTAATGTGACACCAGTATTGGATTTACAGCTCATCTCATCATAAGGCAGATATATAACTACACGGAAGTGTCACAACATCCCTTCAGCAGTTTATGGCAAAATTTCCTCCAATCAAACAATAAATAAAACGGTGCAATAAGGGCATCTAGTACAGTCAATATAGAATGTGATTACATAAAACATGATTTATAGTTCATAACATATCAAGTGTTTGTCGTTGGTATTGTTTGGTGCTTGTGTTCTGAAATGTTTTAAGTACATGTCGGCAAGCTTTCACCCTACCAGGCATAAAGTGCCTGTGAGTTAAAGCAATGGTGCAGCATCGCCTCTTCTGGCCGCCATCAACAATTTCCTTAAACACTTTCGTCTTAAAATCCATACAACATTGTACATGATCTATATAACAGCATGTCTGATTGGATTATATAGATCACATGACAAGAAAATAGAATATTCTCTTCATGAATGAGCATGAGTTTCCTTACCTCTCCAGAAGAATGAGTAGAGGCAGCACACTAGAGTTCCAGGTGACTGCAGTAGAAGATATTGATGGCGTGAAAGTCTGATCATTTTCACTGTTGTGTTGTTGTATTTCAGTGTTTTAAAATATATTACCCTTGCGATATGGAAACATGATTCTTTGTTTTCCCTTGATCATATTTTAGAGTAGTAAAATGTGTCCTGTAGCTCATTGGATAACAGGTCACCTTTAAACTTTTCAGCAAAAAGCTATACGTAAAAGGAAGGGTAATAACATAGTTAGCCTGTACTGTTAGCTTGCTTATGCTATCAAGTTTGTTTTAATAGATTTGACCTTGGCCCACTTTGAAGGTCATAGTTGTGAGATGTGTTTGCCAACAGTGTTGATTAACCTGTGAGTGATACAGGCCAATAAGATCTCTTGTGTTGACTAGATGTAGCTTCAAGGCACGCTGCTGAATTTCAAATCAAAGAAATAACCTATAAATATTGTTCATTCTATTGACACCTCGAGCATACCGAATATTAATCGAAAAAATAAAAAAGAGAGTTGATGATTGTAATAAGATCTCTGAGAATATTATATTAATTTGATGAAGACTTGCGGTGGTATCTTACGTCATGTTCATTGGATCGTAGGACTGCCCTAGTTGTGTAACGCTATACTTACCAAACACGCACGCGGCTGTCTAATAGCCTTATTTGGTTTGAGGGGTTTCTATCTTCTGATTGAGTTAAAGATAAGGATTGCCTTACATCTCCTTTAACAGCCTGAACCTGTCAGCCTATCGCAGAATGATTACTCGTCATCAGGTCATCCTTTCTGAATTAAGTATGACTTGAATAAAATGTAACACATTCTTTATTTTAGCCCAGGGTTTTAGCTTACCTCTACCCCACGACTAATTACAAAACATTATCTGAATATTATCTCTCATGGTCCTGAACATGTGCTATTATTTTGGGGGTTGTATGATTCTATATCTGAAATGGATGTATCCTTTTATCATTTGATGCTGGTTTTGTATGAGACTTTTTAGTTGTTCATCATAGTTGGCATTTAGGTCAAGAAAAGTAAATATATGAATCTTTCTGACTAGCACTGTGAGACTCTGAAGGAATTTGAAAAAAATATACTTGAGATTGAAGAGACAAAATTACTGGTACATGTCCTGTCCATTAGCATACCTAATGAATGACCTGTTACATGTAGGTCAAGTCTCCCTTGTGAAGCTTTTAACGTCACCTAATTACCCAACTTGTATGACACTGGACTGGGGGCATCCTCTTCCTCTACACTGTTACCTCTGTATTGATGTACCGATGAGGGTTCAGTCAACAC